CAGTCTGGCTTTTTGTTTAGTTTGTCAGCGTTCACCATTTGTAAAATCTGGAAGGAAATTCTGGTTTTTACTCTATATCTGGATTTGACTTTGTTCCAGGACCTGAGTTTTGACTGTACATCCGCTTGACAGATCTGGCTTATTTTTAAAAACAGATTGTTGGTTCCTAGCCTCTCAGCAGATGCACTGCAGCTTCAAAGGAAACATCCCTAATTATTCGACCATTACGACATGCTTGTTAAGCCTGTGGGTGCATTCTTTTTTGTTTCCCTCAATGGGGCTCAGCAATTCACACTGGGAATGTTATCCTATCTACGTAGTCTGCTATTAACCGCCAGTTCTGTTTGTACTGACCATGTTGTGGTGTAGGTAGGGAAGTCTTTGAGCCTGCCAATTTAGAGCCACATGACTAGTGCTGTCGCCACGGACTGCGCTGCTTTTATGTTTGTCCCCGAAAAAAAAAAAAAACTCCAACCTTGCCGAAGACTTGTTTGTTTGTTTGTTTGTTTTATTTAGTATCCAGAAGCCATGAGTTGTTAACCCTTAGGCTCGGTATTATGGATATCGCAACATTTCGGCCTTGAATCCATTGTAAATACCGCAAATCTAGGAGAAAATGTGGCTTTCCTGCCTACCCCGGGGATTGAACCCGGACCACAAGGAGTTCGTCACCCGGTCTCCGCGCAATCCGGTTTAGCCAACTACGCTAGAGAGCCGGGCTGCCGCAGATTTCAACCCCTGGTTTCTCGCTTGAGAGCCCAGCAATCCACTATGTCATCGCCTTCAACATAATTATAATCCACAGCTCCCAACAACCACATTGAAAACAAAACTAATAAACACAATAGACTCTTGTATACAAACAACCACAACAACTTTATTACATTGTATATGTACAGTATCTCAATGATGAAACAAGCTAACAAGGGACCTCACTCGCCCAAGGGAGACATCTGTTCTGGATATCATGCTATTTTTATAATACCGTGCGTCAATCAATTCTGACGCATCTTTTTGGTTAATAATATTATTACAAACTGGTTCTGCCTTGGGGGTGGTGTTATATCTAGGACATGTAATGGCCAAATGTTTTCATGACATGTTTTGTCTGGGACCTTTTCATGAGTGATATTTCTTACCTTGGTTTTCTTTTTTGTGTCCTGTCTTATCGCTTGTGTCCTGGTGGGGAAGAAATTCCCCCCCCCCTCAGTTCCATGTAGTTCTTTTATTTCAATTACACTTAGTACTTTCCGTCCTTTTTAAGATGAAATTTTTCGTTATTTGAAGCCATACTCTGGCTTTGCCATGGGCCGCAATATAGCAGGCCATAAATATGGCCTATTGACTGAACGCGGTTTCTGGGACCTCTCCACGGTGATCCTCATTCGCATGGTGGCACATTGTGTCATCGGGTGTTTATCGCTTGTGTGATGTCCTGGTTGGGTAGAAAGTCAGTCAGTCCATGCACCGATTCATTAATTGTCTCATGACATGTCTTGTCTTGCTTTGTCTTGTCATATTATGTCGTTTCTTTTTTTTTCGCTTGGCGTGGTAAGTTTCTAATTTTTTTTTTCTTTCTTTGACATATCATCTCCCGCCTTGTTTTTTCATGTTAATTCCTGTTTTCCTTTGTGAGGCCACGTCTCATCTTGTTTTGCCTTGCCATATTGTGTTGTTTCTTGTTTTGTTTTACTTGTTCACGTTATGCCTTATCATGTCTTGTCACATTATATTGTTTCTTATTTTACTTTGTCACGTTATGCCTTATCATGTCTTTTCATACTATGTTGTTTCTTGATTTCCTTTGTCACGTTATGCCTTTTCACATGATGTTGTTTCTAGATTTCCTTTGTCACGTTATGCCTTATCACATGATTTTGTTGCTTGATTTCCGTTGTCACATCGTGCCTCATCGTGTCTTGTCGTGCCTCATCGTGTCTTGTCGTGCCTCATCGTGTCTTGTCGTGCCTCATTGTGTCTTGTCGTGTCACATTATGTTGTTTCTCGATTTTCTTTGTCACGTTGTGTCCGATCGTTTCTTGTCGTGTCACATTATGATGTTTCATATTTTACTTTGTCACGTAATGTCCTTATCGTTTGTTTGTATTTTGCCCACAAGAAAGCCGTGGCTTGTAGCTGCTTCCAGATCTGACTGTGAATAGTATCATAACAAGAAAAGTAGAAGGTTGGGACTAGAGAAAAGCCCTACATATGGCTCTTATCCTTCGAGGAACTAACTATACTGTTCACGCTATTCTGGAAAACTAAAGAACGTTGATTTGTGGGTGTTTGCTTACATCACTTCGCTTCTATCCACGTACAAATTAAACATCTATTCACAAGATCTCATAGAAACTATACAGTACGCGTTTTTTCTGAGGCTTTTAGAGATGCAAAGAATAAAACTGGGAACCAACAGAAGAACACTCAGGACATTACCACAGACGCTCTGTCTCCATCTTCAGCGACAAGCGCAGAGTTCCAACTCCGAGGCTGCCAATAACAGTCGGATTGTATGTACGTCTGAGTCTCGAGTTCCCATGAGTGTTGAGTTTCCGTGAGTGTTGAGTTTCTGTGAGTGTTGAGTTTCCGTGAGTGTTGAGTTTCCGTGAGTGTTGAGTTTCCGTGAGTGTTGGGTTCCCGTGAGTGTTGAGTTTCCATGAGTGTTGGGTTCCCGTGAGTGTTGAGTTTCCGTGAGTGTTGGGTTGAAGTAAGTGTTGGGTTCCCGTGAGTGTTGAGTTTCCGTGAGTGTTGGGTTCCCGTGAGTGTTGGGTTGAAGTAAGTGTTGGGTTCCCGTGAGTGTTGAGTTCCCGTGAGTGTTGAGTTCCAGTGAGTGTTGAGTTCCCATGAGTGTTGGGTTTCCGTGAGTGTTCAGCTTCCGCGATTGTCGAGTTGCCGTGAGGGTTGGGTTGCCGTGAATGTTGAGTTGCCGCGAGTGTTGAGTTCCCGTGAGTGTTGAGTTCCCGTTAGTGTTGAGTTTCCGTGAGTGTTAAGTTCCAGTGATTGTTGAGCTCCCGTGAGTGTTGGGTTGAAGTAAGTGTTGGGTTCCCGTGAGTGTTGAGTTCCAGTGAGTGTTGAGTTCCCATGAGTGTTTGGTTCCCGTGAGTGTTCAGCTTCCGCGATTGTCGAGTTACCGTGAATGTGGAGCTTCGATCAGACCCCCCTGGTGACCCCCTGGCTGCACAATTCTCTACAGACCGTAAAGATCTATTTGTACTTCCACACCAAAGGAGAGGAAAACAAAACTGACTTACAAAGTGGGTCGTAGGAAGCAACTAAAGAGGACCATGTTTGCATCTGCCATGCTCTTAGGAGGAAGCAAAGAAACGGACCACTGAGCAGCATCAAATATGTCGTAAGTAACTAAGGATGTGGTTGATTTGAGAAGGTCAACACCATAAAAAAAAAGGGGGGGGGGTATGCAGCTGCAAAAGCCAACAACCAACAAACAAGTCTAACAAACCCGAAAGAATCATGCAGCCAATCAAGATGGTATCGGGGATAGAGAAGAGACTCGTGCACATTAAAAAAAAAAAAAAAAAAACCCCATAATAATATCCCTACAATGGCCCTTCATTGGAAACCACAAAGCCAAATAAAAAAAGGAATTAAAAAAAAAACACGGAAGAGGTTTAAAACATATGAAAAGGATTATAAATATATGGAGTCAAATTTATCATGGTTTAGCGGAAATGTGTTGACAGCCAAATGTTCATTTCTGAGAGTAAGGGGAAGGGGGAGGGAGGAGGAGGAGAGTGTTGGACGGGTGAGGGGGGTGGGGAGTGTTGGATGGGTGGGGTGGGGGAGAAAAAGAAAACGGAAGGAAGAGTTAGCTACAAGACAGAAACAGGAGATACAAACACCAAGCAGTTGATCGTCTTACTACTACGACCCCACCATATCAGTTTTATTAAAAGGGATCCCCGTGTGGGTTCCAGGGCCCCATTGTGGGGAAAACAAGAACATACCTACGGCCTCCCCAACAAGCATGTCGTAAGAGTCGACTAACTGAAAGGGGAGGGGGCGGAGGGGGGGGGGATTTCCTTCGAAGTCGGAGTGCATCTACCTGAGAGGCAAGGAACCAACCGTCTGCATTCAAATAAGTGTGCACGCAACACACACGTTCTGGAACACGTCTAAAGCCGAGAGATGGCAGACCAACCAGACATGTCCGCCGGAATTTATACAGCCGGTGAACCCGAAGAAGAAGATGAAAAGGGATATGTCCAAATGGCCATTACATTATAATACAAACAATGGTGTTCATTTTTCACGTGACTTAATCACTCATTACACCAAGAACTATATAATCTATGAATAGGCTAAGATTTATATAAACAAACTAGTTTCTCATTCAACGAGGAACTAAACATTATTGTAGCAATTTTTGATTGTTAACATTAACTGTACATGAACAAAGTACACGAGATCGCTAGTTCCGTTAACTTAACTCGCTTTCTCAGAGTGTGAAGTACATCATGAGATCGCTGGTTCCGTTAACTTAACTCGCTGTCTCAAAGTGTGAAGTACATCACGAGATCGCTAGTTCCGTTAACTTAACTCGCTTTCTCAAAGTGTGAAGTACATCATGAGATCGCTAGTTCCGTTAACTTAGCTCGCTTTCTCAAAGTGTGAAGTACATCACGAGATCGCTAGTTCCGTTAACTCAGCTCGCTTTCTCAAAGTGTGAAGTACATCACGAGATCGCTAGTTCCGTTAACTAAACTCGCTTTCTCAAAGTGTGAAGTACATCACGAGATCGCTAGTTCCGTTAACTAAACTCGCTTTCTCAGAGTGTGAAGTACATCATGAGATCGCTAGTTCCGTTAACTTAACTCGCTTTCTCAAAGTGTGAAGTACATTACGAGATCGCTAGTTCTGTTAACTTAGCTCGCTTTCTCAGAGTGTGAAGTACATCATCTGAACCTCACATCACACTTCAGCATCATCATCCACACAAGAGGAAATTCAAAGAGGACATCAGCAACACTCATAAAGAATCATTGGTATCGTCGTCTTCTTCTTTGATCGTCCTCATCTTTTCTCATGTAGCTACCTTTACGTTTTGGCCGGTTCTGTCGTCGATCGCAGGTATCCTCACAACGGCACTTTTTCAACCACATGTAGTTGTATAGTTCCCTCTTGCCATCTGAACACTGCAATCAATAAATACATCGATATTAACTCATCCCTCTTGGAAATGTCATATGGTGATGACGACGATGATGGGAAGATGATGATGACAATGATGATGAGGATAATGACGATGCGAATGAGGAAGATGACGATGAGGATGATGATGAAGAGAATAATGATGAGGAGGATTATATTAAGCATGCAAGCGGATGAGGATGAGGAAGATGATGATGATGATGATGCTGTGGATAATGATAAGGATAAAGCGATGAGGATGATGTAAATGACGATGAGGATGAGGAAGATGATGAGGAGGAGAGTGATAATAATGATGAAGCGGATGAGGATGATGAAGATAAGGATGATTATAATGATGATAAGAATGAGAAAGATGAGGATGCAAATGATAAGGGTGATGATTAGGATGGTGATGCAGAGGATGATGATAAGGTTGAGGCGGATGGGATGAGGATAGTGAGGATGATGATGAACGATGATTATATTGAGAATAATGAACGATGATTATAATGAGAATAATTAACGATGATGATTATGAGGTTGACGATGATCACGATGATGAGAATGATGATAAGGATGATGATGGGAATGATGACGATGATGATGGTGGTGTTGAAGAAGATGAGAATGATGATGATGATGAGAATAATGTTGATCACGATAATGATTATTATGGTCATGACACTTATGATGATGATGATGAACGATAAAGATGATGATGAGGATGATAATAAGCTTTTACAAAAATAAACACACAAACAGCACACACAATTTGTTAATTATTAGTTCATAGTGGGAATAAAAAGCATGTCGTAAGAGACGACTTATTAGAAATGTTCCCTTCGAAGCCTGAGTGCACCTGCCTGACAGGCGAGATCCAACAGTCTGCATTCAAGTAAACTAGATCTGTTAAACGGATGTACACGCAAAACGCGGGTCCTGGAACAAAATTAAATTTCAGAAGTGGACAAACAATCACAACTTTCCGACGGAGTTTACAGCCAGTGAGCGTGATGATGATTACTGACTGTTCGGTCAGCCACATCTTCTCTGATAACACTATCCAGATCTGCCATTTACATGAACCCACAGCTGTGGAATTTGTAAATGACCCCCTACCCCCCTCCCCCAATCTACCCTTTCCCTTCTATCTATGTATGGGTTTTTCATGAAGTTGTGATGATCTTACGGGTTTTCCCGACGATGGATATTTCAACGTTTTCACTTATAAAGTTTAACAAGAAACTTCAGAAGCTGACCCTGTCCAAAGATACTGGTCCTTATCTGAGCGGGCACCCATAACCCGTCTTTCACAAACTCTTCTATCTCACGGAGGCGCGACCAGTGGAAGCCAGTTAACTCTAAACACGACAAAGTGTCAGCATCTCCCGGCTATCGTCCGTCCTGTGTGGACACCTGGTTTACCTCGTGTTAGCAAGTCGGGCCACGATGGGGCCTCCGATATCCCGGGTTTTCCCGGTTTTTTCGTGATGAGATCATCCGGTGTTGACAACCTAACATTTCTCCTGCGAACTCTGTCAATGGAAGATTTTTTTGTTTTCCTGACGGGGCACGTAGAACTAACGCACTTTCTGACCTCATCTGTAAAGGGTGACTTGAGGTTCGTTCTATATGTTTGCAAGGTTGTGGTGAAAATGTCGACTTTGGAGCTAGAGTGTGTTTCAAAAGTCCTCCCCTTACACATTAACAGATATCTCTAAAACTCTTGTACAATTCAACAGGAATTTATGCATGTAACTTTAGATCTCCTATGTGCTTACAGTTTTATAATTAACACTTGCACGTGTTCTGCTGTTTTCCTAAAGCGACGAATTTCTTTGATCTTTGAGAAATAATTGGTACCCTTAAAAATAGAATAGTCAGTAACTGGCATACGTATGGAGTTTGCTTGTAGATGAGTTCAAATGTTTAGCGATGCATGGGGATTATTTTCATAGCCAATCCCGCATACAATAAAAAATCCACAACTCATGGGAGACAAATGCTGGAGATGACAACATGAGAGTAAATCGCCTATGAAACGCGTTTTGAAAAGTTCTCCTTATTTAGTTCACTCAAGTTACTGTATTCATGCCAAACTGCTTGCTTGATATCAACGTCTTTGGTGAAGAAACATCCTGGATGCCAACTCACCTCGACTCAGCCCAGCACACCTTAACTCATCTCAACTATATCTCTTTAGAAGTTACAATTAGGACGCACCTATCGACTACAGTGCCCGGCTCTCTAGCGTAGTTGGCTAAACCGGATTGCGCGGAGACCAGGTGACGAACTCCTTGTGGTCCGGGTTCAATCCCGGGGGTAGGCAGGAAAGCCACATTTTTCTTCCAGATTTACGGTATTTACAATGGAATCAAGGCCGAAAGGTTGCGATATCCATAATACCGAGCCTAAGGGTTAACAACTCATGGCTTCTGGATACTAAAACAAACAAACAAACATCGACTACAGTGGGCGTATTTGGCTTAGGCGTTGCGAAAGCGCTTCATAATTTCTAGGTGCCAGGTTCGATCCAAACTACAGGCGAATCGGCAGCAGACCGCCTTGTGTTGGTTTCGAAAGTGGTATCAAGAGTAGATCGAAAGCAATAAGAAACTACAAATCTTAAACATTGCCTAGTGAAACCACACCATTAAAAAGAACACATCCAAATCAATCAATCAATCAATCAATCAATTTTGGAACTGCAAAATCCACTTAAGGACACACAACTTTTAACGACCGCAGCTACGCTATACGGCCTACGTTGTGTGCCTTTTACCAGCCAACCGCACGTTCAGGGGGTCTACCTATTCGGTAGACATGTACCAAACACAGACTCTTTATCTATGAATGTATGTATGTATGTATATAGATGGATCACTAGTCTGGTGAGATTGATGCAGCGGGGAGTAACAAGAGGTTCTGGCAGATGCTCAAGACTCAGAGGAAAGGTTAGACGGACGTTTAATCAGAATGCTACTGGCACCATTAGTATCGGAACTCTTACCTGGCTGCTGAACATGGGGACGGAGCGCTTATTGCAATGCCCCGAGTGCTGTGATGTCAGTTCTTGAATCAGCTAATCTCAGCTCTTCATTTAAAAAAAAAATCTGAGGTCGACATATATTCCGCAGTTTACGGCAACCGTTAACAAAAAACGAAAATCAGAATTCGCTCACTGACATGTATCCATCAAGAACGCCTGCGTCACAATTTAGCTAAACGTATGTTGCCGCCGCCCCCCCCCCCCCCCTTACCCCTTAAACCCCACCTTGAGGATCAGATCCAGCTGTAGAGAGATTGTCTGTTTATGGATTCATGTCTTCGCAAGTAGCTTTTCCTCATTTTGATTAACATTAAACAGATGTGCCGGCTGGTAACTGTCAACTAGAACTGGACCAAGAAAATCCAAGACCAAGAGATCAAGAAAATATACCCAGGGGTGAATATAAACTTTAACCAGACTAACGGTTCCCAGAATGTTTTATGTGTAGGACCTTTTTCTAAGAATCTTCTTCTTGTTGCAGGTCCAGAACTTGCACGGCTGGTTAACAGATCTGGCTTATTTGTTCGCAAACCGTTGGTTCCCCGCTTCTCTAGCAGATGCACTCCGACAGAAGGAAACAATCATAATTAGGTGGAGAAAGTTGAAATAAGACCATGTCTGGAATATACTGACAGGCAAAGAATTAAATGGTTCGGCTGTCTAGCGAGAATGGAGCCAGACCAGACTGCATATGAGACTTTTTACAATAGAACATCTGAGAGGAAGGGGAGAGGAAGACCAAGAAAGAGATGGATGAATGGTGTAGATAAAACCTGCAAAAAGAGGAACAAATCCACTACAAGCTACCCGAGAAGCGTAAGACAAATACGGAAAACCACGACACTGGGCTACAAACTGGTATCAATGAGAGGACAAAACCACGACACCGGGCTACAAACTGGTATCAATGAGAGGACAAAACCACGACACTGGGCTACAAACTGGTATCAATGAGAGGACAAAACCACGACACTGGGCTACAAGCTGGTATCAGTGAGAGGACAAAACCACGACACTGAGCTACAAGCTTGTATCAACGAGAAGACAAAAGAAGCAGAGGAATTGAATCCTAATTAGTGGATTTTTACGAGGTGTTTGCAAGGGGCCCTGGGTCTACCTCCGCGCCCCCCCCCCCACCCCTTCCTCACGATAAGACAATGTAATCTACACGGGGATTTCAGAATTAATCTCTATGCTGATCTCCATTAGGTACGTTCCCAATATCTTTCAAGTTAATGGTGTTTTGAAGACATCTTACCGAGCGGGATAAAAGGGTGTAGATAGTAAGAGAATTAAGAGTAAAGAGATAACTAAACAACTGCGCATTTTACTTGAAACGAAAGTATATTTTAAAAACTTTGAAAGTGACTTTCAATTACCACCGTTACACACATTCTTTGAAATTTACCATAATAGTCAGTCTACTTACTCTGTGCTACCAGTGCCAGACATGGTCACTCACAACAAACCATAAAAGAAAATTAGTAACCACAGAAATGAGATGTCTGAGAAGGGCTGTAGAAGTGACCATAAGAGATAAGATCAGGAATGAGATCATAAGAGAACAAGTCGGCACAGAACCAATTCTGGATTACATACAAAGACAGCAAGTGAAATGGTTTGCCCACTTAGAGAGAATGCCTTGTGACACCATACCATACAAAGCATACATGGAAAGAGAAGAAGGACGTAGAGCACGGGGTAGACCAAGAACAAGATGGAAGGATAACAACAGAGAAACTCTACAACAGCACGATGTGCCTATGGTCGAGGCAGCCAGAAGAGCTAAAAACAGAACCTTATATCTCTCTCGACACCCACAGCGGTAAAAGAAGAAGTGAAGAAGAAGAAGAAGAAGAAGAAGAAGAAGAAGAAGTCAGTCTACTTTCAATTACCCCTGGTACACATTTGCAGGCTAACGCTTGGTTATGTATCTGAGAGGCTTCTGTTTTT